ATCTATCTATCTATCTATCTATCTATCTATCTATCTATCTATCTATCTATCTATCTATCTATCTATCTATTTATCTATCTATCTATCTATCTATCTATCTATCTATCTATCTACCTATCTATCTATCTAGCTATCTATCACTCTCGCTCTCTTTCCATCTCGTTAATACAAATCAATCATTAAAGATAAATGCCCACAAGTGGTTTCACAGAGGCGGCGAAGAGGAAGATAAAACAAAGAAGGAAAATGAAATGACGCGCGTGTCTCTTCATCGTCTCGACATCTAAACGTTGCGCACGTGCGTTCATCATGAAAAACCGCGGCCGTCCTTTAAACTGCCGTTTCTGGTGTCGCGCCGACGGCGACGGATCGGCGCCAAGCGACTCGCATTTCATCGGCTTTGTCAACGGCGAGAATACACTTTTGAAAATTATATTTAAACAAGGAAAGTGGCGGCCGTCCGCTCCGTTTAAACATTCACTCTATGTTGCTGTGTTTTTGCGCGGCTGTTTGCGAAGTCACGCCTTTCGCTCTTTCGCCATTGACGAGAGCAAATAGACGCAACTGCGCTGTCGCAAATGAACGTGTCTTCTAGACGCTGCTGTGTGGACTTCCCCCGTTTGCCTAGCGAGCTGCGTCGCATTCTACCGGAAGATCACACACGCGTAGACAACGGCGCGACCGGAATGATCGAGAGAAGCCAAAAAAAAACTAGCCGCGCAAACAAAAAGCATCTCCTATACTATTCGGCTGTCGGTTCGGCTGAATAAATACGCCTCGTTGGCTGGGGTTCTATTCGCAGGCAAATACATAGCAGTGCGTGTCATCGACACAGAAGCGGGCGCTGGCTTGCTGCGTAGGAGCCGTTAAACAAAACTACATACTATCACATAGCTGCCAGTTTAACTCCACTTTGTGAGTGGCACACTGCTTGCAAACTGTGCCCGTGTACGCTCACCACACAGCTACGTATGCATACAAAACGCCGACATTGACAAATGCCAAAGCTATAAAGCCATATATATATATATATATATATATATATATATATATATATATGTATGTATGCAAATACACGCGCATGTCATCGTGTATAAAGTCACAAAAAGAGCGACGCAGGTAGAGAATTCGTGGCGCCGTTTGCGCTTGACTTCGTGAATGGGCTTAATTTCCTGGCATTGCCGAGGGAAATGAAGTAGCGGTTTGCTGTGCCAGCATGAGAGTTCGCGCTATGAGACAGACAAAGGTCGCCGACGCGGCTTAGTTAATAATGAACGTCGATGACGTCACAATGTAGCGTTTTGCATGACGACGCGATGCGAAACACAGCGAACAAAAGTTGTCATGCACACGAAAGAGCGCGAGTCGAAGTCCCGACAGGCGACAAACAAGAGCATCGAGAGGCGACATCACGTGTGTCACTGGATAAGGTACTGGAACTCCGCAAGTACGCAGTGTACTGAAGCAACGAATGCGAAATCGACGAGAAAAATACTGTAAAAATTAATTAAATTTCGCAATTCGTCTCGAAATGGTAAAAATAGCATCCATCAGGCCAGGCCGTTAGTGGGTATTCTTGGTAAACGTATACAACAATATAGCAATAAAATCCGGACAGAAAGTTAAGATTAAGGTCATAATCAGAATGCATTCAAAATCGCGCCGATCAATACGCTAATATGGAGAAACCTTTCGTCAGATTTGGATGAGAATATCAGTTGAACGACGGCTCGAAAGTGTGAGAGAGAGGCTGGGCCGATGAAAGGTGCTTCAGAGAGTCATACAGCGCTCCCCAGAGCACCCCAGCTGCTCAATGGGTATATCTTACTCATAGCTGTCACTATCGTAGTTTCTACGTGTCGCAAGGATTCGCGAATTTGTCTCTTTTCCTCGTGGGAGTAGTCGAGTCTACCCGTGAGGAGTGCCATCGTAGTGGGAGGATGTGCGCGTGTGTGAAATGCCTTTTTCTTAGAAACGGGATCCTAACACGTCAGTGCCTGCTCTCTGTAACCTATCCGCGCAGTATCCGAAGTGCTGGCAACGTTGAGTTTGTTTCGCCCGAACATGTATTATGATACGATATCTCCTGATGGACATTTTCATCCTAGTATCGGACTTAGAATCAACGTGTTCATAAATAAAGAGAAAATAGGGGAAGTAAAAAAGAGAGAAACAGAAAGGAACAGAGAGAGAGAGAGAGAGAGAGAGAGAGAGAGAGAGAGAGAGAAGAGAGAAGAAAAAGAGAGAGAGAGAGACGAGAGAGAGAGACGAGAGAGAGAGAAAGAGAGAGAGAGAGAGCGAGAGAGAGAGAGAGACTAAGAGACAGAGAG